CAAAAGAAGCCATGGTCCAGAGAGAGACCAGCCACGCGCTCGGCCGGACGGAGTAGAGAAGAACCCACGAGCGAAGTTCTCATCCAGGAGGAGACGAGGAGCGACGTGGGTCGTAACAACGAAATTTTCGCTTAGGAGGTGACGAGGAGCGACGTGGTGAACAGTGTCATGGATCCCGACCCGAAGAGCTATCGAGAGGTTGTACGAAGTAAGCAAAGTTTGGCGTGACTCAAATCCATTGCTGAAGAACTACAAGCACTATAGCGCAACGGTGTGTGGAAGGTGGTGCGTTTACCACGAGGCGCTCACGCACTGCACGCGAAGTGGGTCTTTAAGACTAAAAGAGATTCAGAGGGGGCGATCGAGCGACTGAAGGCGCGTTTAGTGGCATGCGGTAAAGAGTAAATCTTCGGAATCAACTACAGCGTGACTTTCGCCGCAGTAATTGCCGTGTCGAGCGTTAAGTTGATCTTGGTGCTCACAAGAAAATGGGGAGTTCGGCAAAGCATGGGGACATGCCCAACGCTTATATTAAAGCGGATAAGGAAGCCGACCTTGACATCTACATGCAGATCCCCCAAGGAATGGTCGTGAGCGACCAAATCAGGAAAGAGCTGGGCTTTGAGGGCGACGTGCTTGTCCGGGAGCTGAAGAAAGCCCTATATGGCTTAAAACAGGCTGGTAGGCTGTGGATTAAGCGCTTACATGGAAAACCGAAGGAGATTGGCTTCGAACAGTGTCTTACGGACATGTTCGTATACTACAGACACAACGGAGACGAGGCACTAGTTGTGAGGGTGTACGTCGATGACTTGCTAGTCACCAGTACGAAAAGCAAGGCAGTTGACGCCTTCTTCGACGAGCTGGAGGTCTTAGCGGTGAAGAACTTGGGACAGCCTCATAAGTTTCTGGGAATGAGGGTGGTGTACGACGAAGAGAATGGGTACGAGATTGATCAAGAAACGAGTATAGAGGACATGCTACGAGACCATGGACTAGAGCACGTGCACGGAGTGCGCGCAAAAATTGGAGAAGAGTGAAACGAGCCTCCGGAAGGAAATGAGAAGATCTTACCCGTAGCAGGATCTTCTGGGACCGTGACCATGAGGAAGTTCAAGAGTCTGGTTGGAAGTCTCCTGTGGTTGGCGCGATGTACCAGGACAGTCATCGCCTTTGCGGTGCATCATGTGTCAAGACGCACACACGCACCAACCATATCGGACTGGAAGCTAGCAAAGAGAGTGCTGAGGTACCTCGGTAGAACTAAGCAGTTGTATTTGAGAATGAGAGGGGATGGTACGAACGCTGGACCTGTAAGCGTGGCGGGGTATAGCGACGCATATTCGCTGCTGATAAGAGTGACAGAAAGTCGGTCACGGGAGGCATCGTGGCGGTGAACGGTATGGCTGTAGGTTGGATCTACAGGAAGCAGAACGGCGTTTTGGCGTCGAAGATGGAAGCAGAGTACACGGACGGCTGTCTCAGTCATTGCTAGAGATATCCTGGGAGTTCGTGAACTACTGAAGGAGTTGTAGGTGGATCTGGTTATACCCACGTACCCCAGAGTGGACAATCAAGCAGCTTTGAAGCAGCTAGACGGAGAAGGAGCTTCGTCGAAGGCTAAGCATACATATGTGTGTATCAAGTTTGTTGGAGACTATACGAAGAGAGGAATTCTCCGACCGGAGTATCGTGAGTCCAGATACATGCCGGCGGGCGTCCTGACGAAGGCACTGCCAGCGCCAAGGCTAAACGAATTGAGAACGCAAGTGGGCTTGTGCTGGGCGAAACTAGGAATGGGTTATACGGATATCACGGAGTGGCGGTACCGACGAGGAGGAGTGTTAGAAGACGTCAGTGGGAAGCACGTGGCGGTCAAGTTTGCGTTGGCATCTCCCACTTTGATCGTGGGATCTGTCAGACAGTTTGGTACGTTTGTGGTACTGTACAGAGGGAACGTGAGGCTGGGAGCTTATGACAGAGAGTTTGGTAGGGATATGTTGGAATCTCACTCTATCTTTTGCGCTAAACTACCTACTGCGTCAGACAACCTACCGGCCTAACGGCCGTGTATTCAGCAAAATGCTACAGTAGCACTTAATCGAACGGCGTTGATTGAACTATTAAAACGTCGGTGACCTGGTAAAATCGAACCTGGTTGGCTAAGCTGTTTTAGTCAATCTAAAACACTACTTGTCTGTCTGTCGGTGACTCCGTCCGGAGCACAAATACGCACTTCTCACTGGACAAAATGCTGCCAAGCGAAGCGAAGGCGGCCCCGGTCACTGGCTGATATTGAGCCAAATCTAAGCATAAATACTACTGAATACTACTACAGCCCGCTGATTGGTAATATATTTGCGCTTCTTTCTTTTCGCCCCATTTCGAAAAGCGAAGCGGCGGCGACAGACAATGGACGAAGGGCGCGTGCGATTGCGGGAGGAGCGCCGAACAGGGGCCCCAGGCAACGTATGTAGCAGTTTGTAAGTATGGAAGGGTAGCGCTAATACATGCCTTCTACTGGCTGCCGAGCGCAGCGATGGGCGTTGCTCACATTTTATGTTTCGACATATCGTACTTCAATGCAACGCTTAAATATCATTTTGCCCCCTTTTTCAGCCGCGGAGCACCACTTCACGCAAAGGGTGCTGCCTGTGTGCGCGTTGGTTAGCATTAGCGCCGAACAGCACGCACGCAATGTATGGTTACACAGTCTAATATAAAATCTGGGCCCTGGTGGTCCATATCGAGTCTTGAATAGTCCTCTCAGTAGTTTTGCTAAAAATATAATGTCTTAAGCCTCGTTGTAATTTTATAGTAGTTTTACTTACACGATTGTACTATTATAGTTTCCTTTAAATATTTGCTTGCAATCTTTTGTAGTAGAATTACGATGATTGTGTTATATAATATACTCAAATTTCCTACTAATACTAATTACTCAAACTTTTAAGGTGTATTGTGGCCTCCCACCCTTCACCCCCTCTCTACCGCTGCGAAAAAAAATGTCGTCTTCCTTTATATTTGCGCGCGTAGTGTGCGACCTTTAGAGAATGTACCCTTTATCCAACACGATACGTAGCGTACCTTCAAGGCACTGGAGCAGTGTTTGTGATTACATTAGCGCGGAGGCACGTGATTAAGCAAGAACACGAAACACGGAGGAACACCATGTGCATGATGAAATAGAAGAAACGGCACGAAGCACGAAAGGCCATGGACAATGAAAAAGGACTAAATCAATGAAGGCACCTAGCGATTCTGAAAAGCACGAACCACGGAAGAGTGCGCAACCCTGAAGCATGGGAAGGAAAAAAGTATGACGGGTGCGTACGGACCACGGAAGAGAGCTGAAATACTGACACCCCACATAGAGCACGTAGCTGTGACAACGCACTGAAAAACGATCATTCCGTTACACCACGGTGGAGCACGGAGCACGGTCGACGGACCAAGCATGATTTCGCGGAAGACCATAAACGGGAGATTATCTTGCATTAAAATACGATACCAGGGTAAAACTGGAGCTCACCGAGCCACGGAGAGCGATACTACGGTAGCTCACGATGGAGCGGACGACAGACCAACTGCGACACCAAAAAATACCACGAAACTATTAAACCATGGGAGAACGCGCAGTCACGGGAACTATAGAGGGAAATCACTTAACCACGGAGCACGATACCAGTGAAGAACTGAGCTCGCGGAGCCAGGGAGAACGATGTCACAGTAGAATATGATAGAACGGACGGCGGACCCAAGGGCGGAACGCTTCAGGAGAGCACGCGGCTACATCGCGGAGCACGGTTGCATGATCTGATACTGTGGTCGACAGATTCACACTATGAGTTCGCGATAGCGTGAAAAACAGAACAGCACCGCGATTGCACGATAGCGCGATAGCGCGGGGGATGTGTCCACACCAGGAACGCACGATACATGGGCGACAGATCAACACAGCTACGGAAAAGCACCCATCGGCGAGGGTACCGGTGATAAGACGCCATGGACCATGAATGATTATGGACCACAAACCTGTGGAGCTCACATAAACCCTTGGGAGCACGCAATAGCTAGCAGCTACAAAAGAGGGGGAGGGCGTACGAGAGAGCATGAAACCAAAGCGATAACCCTGAACCACTAAGCGGTGTGAGCTACGGGTGAGCTTGAAACCACGAAGCCAGAAAGGACACGGAAGAGCACGGACCACGAAAGAACACGGCATCCAATATGTTGTACGGAGCATCAGTAGCCTACAAAACCTCGGTATCTTACACCGCCATATGAGACTACAGAATGGTAGGGGCAGTAAGTCACGAAACTACGTCTTAGTGAGGTGGCTGAAGCCTTGGGGTACAACATCCTACCCAAAGTCACCCTGCACCACAACGTATTTAAAATTCTGGACACATCACATCCTACAAATTATGCAACCTCCGCAAAAAAAAGCATCGGCGAATGGATTCAAGGTGCTGATCGAATTTCCTGAATTGGAAGAGGAGGGCGGAGTTTACACAAAACACATAGTGTAAATACATATCTTCGAGCGTAGGCAAGAATAATTGCTTCACCGTTTCCACTTTGTTTCGCTAACAAACGAAGAAAAACCTCGGTGCACCGGAGCGAAGCAGAGGCCAGCGGGCTTCATGGGTGAGAATGTGGCCTTACTCTAAAGACAACACGTTTTTACACTGACATTTCTCCTTTTAATGTTTTCATGATGTATAAAACAAAAACATCAGCCCACCGGAGCGAAGCGGAGGTGGACGGCCTACACAGCTGGGACCCACCGCCGCGAAGCCGGCTAGTCAGAATTAAATCTAGTTAAACACGCCCAATGACTTTTTTAGCTGCACTTAAACGATACAAAACTGGTACATGTATACGAACGAAATCGCTGGATTATCACCCGGATGGACTCTGGATAAAATCCAGAGAGCTGGGATTTTTGGGTGTTTTTCTCATTGTAGCGCTACATGTAACTTATTCTGCTCGTTTTGATGACTGAATCTGTTCGTTGTGTGGTCTTCGGGCTGCAAGGCGACGCCGAGCTGACCGAGGTGCTGACCTTCCTGCGTGGCTTCAGTGCTCTCTATGGATCTGGCTTGGCGCTGCACAGTGAGACCCGTGCGAGCTCTGCGGAGGTGGAGGCCCTGGTCGCCCAGCAGCTCAAGAACAACCCGGTCCAAGTGAACGAGCGCCGTAGAGCGCTACCGAATCAAGTGAACCAGCACGGACAGGGCGAACTTTTTACCCGGATCTCGGTGGACCAGAAGGAACTCATCGTGTTTGGTAAAACACCGCTGATGCAGTGGATGAAGCAGCAATTGCTCGAGTCCCGGTACACCACTGCGTCGCCCGCCCCTGCCACTCCAGAGGCACCACCGCTGCGGCTGTTTATCAGTGGAGACAGAGCTCAAGTCGGTAAGTCTACGGTGTGCCTGGGCCTGGTGGGTGCGCTGTTGCGCAGTGGATACGCAGCCAGTGACATCGCGTATATTAAGCCGGCCACACAGTGTGAGAAGCCGCAGCTAGTGACCAAATTCTGTCGGCAACAGGGCATCACGTGCTGTGAAGTGGGTCCCATTCTGTTCTATAAGGGGTTCACACGAGAGTTTCTGAAGGGCGAAACGGAGACGTCGGCTCAGTTGTTGGAGAAGGCCAAGCAGAAGGTGGAGGAAGTAGGTAAAGGAAAGAAGGTCGTGGTCGTGGATGGTGTTGGATATCCTGCTGTTGGATCAATTTGCGGCGTGTCTAATGCGCATGTTGCCAAAAAACTGAAGACGCCTGTGGTGCTTGTTGGCAAGAAAGGGGTGGGTGACGCCGTGGACTCATTCAACCTCAACGCAACGTTCTTTGAGAGTCACGGCGTCAAGGTGCTGGGCGGTATCTTCAATCGCTTACCAGAGGACGGTTTCTACAGTCTGGAACACTGCAGAGAGAACGTGACCGCGTATTTCGAGCAGTTCCAGTCCGAGAAACGCGTCTACGGATTTCTTCCCGAGCTGACGGACGGCGGCCATAGTGCCCTCTTTGCTGAAAAGACTAGTGAGGAAGGTCAGAATGATTCTGTGTCTGGCGTATTTCTCACAGCTGCTGAGGATGAATTGGCCACGAAGGTCGTGGATGCGTTTGTCCAGAGTATTGACTTGACGAAGCTGCTCGTGGACGCGGAAGCGAGCAAAGAACCAGCCAAAGCGGTGGGCTCTAACGGCACGAAGGCCGTAGTACCCAAGGCAAATACAAAACCGAAGCGCGCTCGCAACTTTGAAATCCCGACCTCGTTTGAGACGGTCGAACTTCCATCTTTTAGTGCCCTTAATGCAGTCGAAATCCCAACGTCGACGGAGACTATGGCGCTTCCGGCATTCAACACTATGGAGATCCCTACATCGACGGAGACGATGGCACTGCCCTCGTACGATACGGTCGAGATCCCCACGTCAACAGAAACGATGCCCCTGTAGCTTGAAGCCTTTCAACGATGACACGTGCGCAGCGAGTGGCAAAAATATGATGTTTCAGTCACGCCTCAATAAATCAACAGACCGACACTCGGCCGGTTCTGACAGTCTACCTCAGTACATTCATGTAGTATGGGTAGCATGCGTCAGGCCCTGGAGTTCAGGGCGCATTATATCATTAATCTTGCAAGAACCATGTACACTCTAGCTGTGCATCTTACATTACAAGGGTAGAGGTATATGTAGCGGCGTTGCATTCACGTTGACGTTTGCACTGCTGAATCAGCAAAGAGACGCGGTACATCCATGTTGACGTTTTCACTAAAAGTTTTTAGAAAAACTAACTCTTTATCGGCGATTTGGGGGCGTTGTACTGAAATGCAACGCTCTGGGCCGTTCTCCGATAACTTCTCGCGCGCGCACTGTCAATGGACCCATCGCAGCTCCAGTTTAAAGTTTATCAAGAATATTTGATAGCATTAGCGACTCGCTGCTAATGGCGAGCATGCATGGAGCACCGTTTTTCCATCGAAGAGACCACAGCATAACTGTCGATTGTTGATAATTCACCAATAATGAAAGACAACGGCAGGATTGCAAGAACTTGTCGTACGAGCTGCTTGCAGTGAGAGCGCTCAATTTTTCCATAGTTTTTACGGATCAACTCTTGCTGAAAGTCACTTCAACTTCGGTCCAGTCAGCCAATCAAATCTGCATTAGGCACGCTCTGCGTTGATAACCTGCGCCTGCAAAAGTCGCTTGACAAAGTCGTTTATTTGCAACCATAGAGCAGTGTCCTTCCACCTTTTCTTGCACCAGATTACTCTTTTGCCACTCAAGCATTCGCATCCTCGAGCGCAACACTCCTCTCTATCTTCATGGGCGGCAAGGACAACGAGCCCAACGCCGACGGCGTGTTCACACCCAGAGCCGATTACACGTCACCAACTCCTCCGTCGCATCAAAAGCGCCAGAATCTCATCTGGGGTGGCGTCTCGCTCTTCCTACTGCTCAACGTCATTGCACTCTACATTTTACACTTCGTAGATCGTGGCAACAATGGTGAAGCCGTCACCAGCACCATTCAGTCCTCGACGCTTTCAAGCACCAATGCCAACTCGGCCTCCGAGGGCCAAGCCGTGAGCTACAAGACGAACGGCCAGCTCACGGCTGGTGCCGGCACCACCGCGTACCTGGCGGCAACCTCACTCCCGTCCGAGGACCAGTTCATGGCGTACATTAAGTTCGCACCGCTCGGCACGTCCGAGACGGCCTACGCCTCCAACATCATTTCGTACCAGACAGGAACGTCGCTTGACATCAAATGCACGGTTACCGTCGCCACGGTCAACGCGGACGACAAGACCGTGAGCATCGCCGAGGCCGACAACAGCAACGTCTTTTCTGGCTCGACGGTTAAGGGACTGGCCACACTCTCGGACTCGTTGGCCATCGCTGTCACTACCGTCACGAGCTCCGACGGGTTCAGTGTCACAACGTACGTGACGCCCATCACGATCGATGACGGCTCCGTCTCGGTGCAGCAGAGTCAGACTCTTGAAGCGACCAATACGTCTACCAGTACCTTCATCACCCGAATGTCGGACAAGAGCTTCGCACTGGTGTATTACGAGTCGTATTTACAGAATCCATACTACCAGCGTGTCATCGTGGGCACGTTCGCGGACGATGGAGCTATCTCATTATCCGACAGTCTCGAGTTTGGCAATGCCAACGGTGTAACGTTCACGCAATTTGGCACACCTCAATCGGTTTTTAACTCGAGCAACACGGTGACGGTGCCCTGGTACGTGGAAGCGTCCTCGACGTCGAGCAACGACACCGCGTCCTCCTCTGTAGGCAGCGTGGGTCTGTGTCTGTTCACCGCCAGCCTTTCGGACAACACACTGACCGAAACGGTGGAGGTGTGCGATACGACTGTGAGTCCAACGTACTACATTGACTCGGCCAAGATATCAGACACTGTGATCGCACTGAGCTACTTCGATACAGCCAACAACTACGCACTTACAGTGTCACTGGTTGAGTTCTCCGCCATCAAACGTTCCCCCACGTTCCGTAGCAGCTACGTGCTCGACGAGTCTGTGGGCTCGATGGACTTTGGCTCTGCTTTCGGCTTCTACCCGACGCCGATCGTTCGTGTGCTGTCCAATAACCGCCTGGCCGTGGGTTTCCTCAATTCGGCCAACTCCGGAAAGCCGAGCATCAAGGTGCTTTCGTACTCGTCGGATCTGACGCTGTCTGAGGAGTCTCCGGTGCTCCCTGTGGCCAACGCAGACTTCTCTTTGGCGTCGGCCGACCCGAACGCTGTCGGCGCGATCGTCTTAGACGTGGTGGCCACTGAAACCGGCGCTCTTATCGGCTACGCAGGTCTGTGGGCTGGTGCTCAGAACCAGCGTGTGGCCCTGGTGGAGTCGTTCGGCAAACCTGTGGGTATCGTATCTAACGTGGACGGCTCGGACGTTGACGTCGCGCTGTCTGGCACCGTCGACATCTCCAGCTCGCTTGTCAAGGGAACAACATACTACGCCTCGACTGAAGGTACGCTGTACGCTGCCTCAACCACCTCGACGGACAACTACATCCTGGCCAACGACAATACCGTTGTTATTTCAAAGGACGCACAGGTGGGCGTCGCTGTCGGCAGCGACAAGCTTGTAGTCACGGTTTAACTATTAATACCTGGATCCGTTGTTTATATGTGCTCGTTCTCGTCGTCCACACTTTAAGTGGTCCGTAAAAGTCAATAGCACGTTAGTACTGTAACACTATTTTTACAGTAACATGCCATTACGAAATTGCTCGTCTGTACTTGAGCTGAAGAGTTTACTTAAGCTCTACAAACTTGCGTGAACTTTATTTATCAAGTTGCTGGCAGCATTGCACAGTATCTATCGTCGTTGCATCTAAGGCTTTTCCTCGTTCTCGTGGTGATCACGCTGAGCGATTTCTCGATGCTTACGAGTGCTGCCCTCGAGGCCGCCTAAAACATCCTCGCCCTCCTGGTTGTTGCTGGGAATGATCATCTCGAACGTCTCCTTCACCACCGTGTACTGGTAGTAGCCACAACGCGCAATGGGTTTGGTCTTCTTGACGTCCAGGATGCCCTCCGTCAACACCTCGTCCTTGATGTGTACGGCCACGACCTTGCCGATAATCACATCGACCGAACCCATAGGCGGATTTCCAGGTAGACGCAACGTGCTGTAGTACTCGCACTCGAATTTGACAGGGCTGTCGGCCACCATCGGGACGCCCTCAATACACTTGGACATCTCCTTCTTCAGACCGGCACGCTCGAACTCATCCACACCGGGTCCCACTTGCTCGGCCGTAATATTGACGGCCTCACGGAGATCCCAAGTGGCCAGGTTCCAGCAGAACTTGCCCGTGGCCTCCGTGTTCACGGTCGTGTCTTTCTGCTTGCCCGACGGCTTCTGGTTGGCACTGAACATGATGTACGGGGGGTCAAAGGTCAGGTTGTTGAACTGCGAGTACGGCGCGAGATTGGCCTCACCCGTGGTCGAGACGGTGGAGATCCAACCGATAGGACGGGGCTGCACACAGGCCTTGAACGGGTCATGCGGCAGGTTGTGCTCAGTCTTGCCGGGCTCATAAAACATGGCTATGATTGACGAATTCGATGATGCTAATAAAGTCGGAAGCACGTTTGGAAATGAGATGGATTGAAGAATCCCTTCTTAGAAGGGAGAACCCTCGACAAAACTCCGATTGTGTACGTCGTACACCTGATGAGTGCTTGCACTTTGAATTGTGCGTCGCCTCTATGGATCGTGACTTTTGCCTATTACAGTACTGCCCCCATTTTCGCGGGGGTGGACCATATAGATTTGGCAAAAAAACTAGATTTTAGCTCACAAATTAAAGCTCATTTGGATTCAGGATCATCACATCCGGAAGTTTATCGAAGGTCCCAGGGCGCGAAAACGGGGTGCAGTACTGTACATGTAATTCAGATGAACCCTTCGGCAGTAATCCCTGTTCATTTAATACCCTCCGACAAGAATACAATATCGGCTCCCGAATTTTGCTTTTTGCCAAAGATAAAATAACTCTCACCCCTCCCTCGGAATATGAAATAATGAAAATAACTGTTCTGAGGTGCTAAACTTTGGGATAGTCACAGCACGTCCAAAGTAGGCAAGCAAGGACACTTACTGCTCGCACCCTTCCTTCCTGCTTAGCTCGTCTCACAGCTCTCTCTCTGCATCGTTCGAAGCCTCTGTACACTTCTATCCGACACTCTGCTCGAATAAGCAGCTTCGCAACTGCTCCTTAATATCCGCAGAATCGAGCTCTACATCATCATTCTCTGTTTCGGCTCCAGTATCCTCGCAGGAACCCATCGACTTACCACTCGCTGGAACGTCCTTCACTTCGATTCCGCAGAACCTGTAAAGCCACGCATTCGACCACGTAGGTGGCGCCTCCAACTATAGGATCGCAGCAAATCGTGCTGCCTATACTCTGAAGGCTTCACCGGTTACCATCACTCCTTCCTCCTCGCACCAGCCCTCACTCGGCCAGCGCGGTGTCCAGCTCTGGAAACCACACCTCATGTTGTGACTTCACGGCTAGCTAGGACGTAGTCGGTTCCTCCAGAGCCTTCTTATGTTTAAGTAGCTTAGATATTGTTCCTTGCTGTTGCAGCAACAAAGCTTCTGTAAATGTACCATTTCGAAGGTAAACTTGGCTTAGCCACCTCACAACAAGAATACTCTTATATAGCGATAAAATGTTGGTTCCCGACGCTATGACTACCGAAGGGTTCATCTTTACTATTACGCGGACAATCAAATCATGGTGCCTTTGCATCTCCATGTGGACTGTATTTAATCCAGTTGTGTACTGGATTCAGAAAATCGGCGAGTTAATTCAGAGTTTGGATTGGAAAAACAGTACAGTCCCGGTAAGTTCGCGCCACGTAAAGATCCAGTACATTGTTTAAGTACGTACATCTGACAGCAAATATTACTGCATTTTTAGAACGAAATATTTTAATTATATACTCGCAATATAAGTAATGAGATGAAGCATGTGTCCAGTATCCAACTAGGCTTAGAATGATACTTGGACATGCGATTGTGTCCTGAAAAAGATTTTTTAATATTAAAAATTATATGGTAAATTAATTTTGCCGTTACAATTTTGAGTTAACTTGCACCAAAAGCTGTGGGTTTCATGGCTGTTGGTTATTATTACATGTAGTGTTATATGTGCGCTTTGGTATGTGCCCTCTCCCCCTGTCGTGTCATTTTGGGAATGACGTCTTCGAAATCGAAGCATAAGCGCAAGCGTGATCAGAATGTTATGGAGCATCCGGAGCTATTCCAAAAGTTTGCATTTTCTTACAAACCTCACATTTAGCTCATTAGCTTTATCAAAACTTCTACAATTTCATCTTATTGTTTTACGTTTCTATAAATCTGAATCAAAAATCCGATCCGATAATTTGTTAGCTAAACGCTTAAGAGATGCAGCTTTAAAAGCATTTTTGGTAAGTCTTTAAACTGTAAAAGTAGCTAGATCTCTACTGAGACCGTTGGTATGAAATAGGTTTGAGTTAATTGTTCACTAAAATATTATGCTAAAATTCCTGAAATGTATTTACTGCAATTTTTGTCAAGAGTTTATCGCAAGAGATAATAACCTGAAGCTGTAAAGCTAAAATGTTTTTTCATGCTTTTGACAAAATTAGATAAGCTCTACATTGACATCTGGATATGTAAAGCCTCATTTTGGATTTATCAGGTGGGCGCCGCACAACAAGCTCAAAAAGCACACCAGGAATTTCAATCGGAAGGCAGACGGATCCTTCTACCTTCTATAAGCTCAAGATTAACAAAAATCTACCTGCGCGCCCTCCCAGTAGCAGAGAGGCTTGGACAACAACGGCGATCGGTCAGAGGGGGTCTGGTCTGTTTGACAGTAGTCGAGCTCGGCGCGGAAGGAGCCAAGAGCTCTACGATGTCGAACGCCTCTACGCCAAGCGCTGGGTTCATAATTTAGAGTTTATCTGGTGCAATGGGTTGGTTATCGCGAATTAACATGGGAGCCCGCCAAAAACCTTCCGTGGAAGCTCAAAGTCGACTTTGAGTTAGAGACCATCGACTTCGTGTGGCTTTACCAACCAACAAGAGGAAGACAGCGCAAAAGGCTACCTTCATGACGCAGCGAACGCGGAGCGAATCAGGAGTAACGACTTACGTTAGCTTAAGTTCGTAAAAAGTAAAACACGAACTTTAAATGTACTGGAAACAGTACTATTAATAGTCACCTCCTTTTCTAAGAAAACAGTACACTAGTACTGGATTATGGAAATTCCTCCCATGGTGGAGACTCTCCACCAATGATGGACTTATTACAGTAAGTTGAGTCTCGACTCGAGACCCCGTCTCCGGTGGGAACACTATAATACAGTACCGAAATGGCTTTCTGAACGGCCTGGCAAATTGCCAGTGGCAATAGGTATGCTGTACCGGTAGCCAGCTTCACGATTCCACTGGAATTTCCACATCGTCACTGAATTGAAGACGGCTGTGAGTTACATCTATTATTTACAAGAAATACAGCTCTCAGAGATAGCAGTTTTGGCCTCCTCTTCAGCACTATAGCTTTTCATCGGAAGGCATGACAATCTTCGCTTCTCTCTTCTGCTTCAAAGTAGCAGACGCAGGTCGGCTTGAAATGGTCGAGAGGACTGATGTCCACACGAGGTTGACACAGTTAATGAACAAGATGCGATATTGCAGTGGTACGTAGCTGTAGTTGACGATATTCGCAAGCGGCCAAATCATGTAGTTGGCCTTGAGCGTCTGCGGCAACCGGTCCACAGCAAAGTCTACGCCGTGGCCGAAAGATTTTCCCTGCATCATTTGCGTTGACGTGAAGAAGATCGTATTGATACTTGGAGCGAGAACAAGCGCGTCCAGCAGCATCTTTTTGAAAACCACGACCTTCCCATGGCTTCCGACCACGCGCTCACTGAAGTTGACCCACGTGTGTGCAATAGGAGTGAAGAGAACACATCCCCAGATCATCATTCGCATGGTTCGAGCTGTGCTGTCGCTAACGAACGCTCCATCGTTTTCGATCTCTTTGACACGTGAATCATCACCCCTCTGAGACTTCTCCACCCTCTGCGCAATTCGATCCCCCAGTCCAAAGAGAACCGCCGATGTGACGCTCTTAGTTAACATGGGCGACCGACGCAACCAGCCATCGTATTGCAGACCGAGACGCCGCATGTCCGAGGCGATTCCTCCACCGATTCCGCACAGTCACCACACAATCGTGTCAACGAAGACCTCTGCTTCACATCATGAAACCTGGTTGTTACAAGAACGGGCCGAGTGCACTAAATTTGGGGTTATTAGTAATGTGTACTTTGTAAAAAAATAATTATAATACATGCTTTTTTAATACTAATACTTCGAAAAAGTATTCGCAAAATCTCGAGTCCATGTTTTTCACAGTATGTTTTTCGTAGGTTTTAACCATGTTTGGCCATGTTTGTAAAATAAAATATATTTCGGATTTTTAAATTACTGATTTGAGCTCGCCGCTCCCCTTCGGCTCTCTCAAGGCAGCTAAGCTCACTGACCTGCCCGCGACAGTTAGAATACACCCCCCCCTTCTCCCCCACAGTGTG